GATCGGTAGGAGGAAATTATTTTATTTTATTTTCTTCTGGGGTTATACTTGAAGTCAGCTTCCGTTGTTCTTTCAAAGATTGAAATTCATATTCGTTTGTTTCGGCTGAAAAAAAAGGCCGTATAGAGGAAAAAAATTCAAGCGTGGAGAAATTTATAATTGGAGGAGAAAATGCCAGAGGAGAGAAAACGTCGCGAAAGACAATACTGTAATTTTTTCCCGTTTTATTGTCTTGCGTTTTAATGTTTATATGAGATTTTCTTCCCTGAAGCGTTTCAAATTTTACGTGGGTTATTTAATTTGATTAGTTTGACTGATTTTGTAAAAACGCCACGGAAAGAAAACGTTGCGGGCGACAAAATAGTCTTCCTTAATTCAGTATTGTCTCATGTCGTATGCTGTTCATCAAATTTCCTTTTTCTTTGCATTTTAAATTGATGTACATGATGCATTTAATTTAATTAAGATTCTTTTTCTCAATCGTGGCAAAATCTCAGCTTCGTTCACGGATTTCATTTTTTCCGGCAATTTCTTTCCGCACGTCATTTTCTAATTTTTTTTTTCCTGTCACATTTTTTTGAGGGGCGATTTCTTTTTTCAGTGGCATATTTCCTCTCCCGGCATTTTTTCACCATCCGAACTTTTTTATTTTGCATTCAAAAGAAGAACGTGAAGAAGACTTTTTTTTTTAGTTCGGAAAAATCATCCTGAATTACTTCTGATGAAGTGTGAGGTGTTCTTACAGATAGTTGCTTCACTTTCCGGAAAGAAGACCCAGAGAGCTGTGATTAAGCCTTGGTGGGTTTCGTGTTCAAATAACGTAGAACAGTTTGAGTATGAAGATAACAGTGGTGCCTCGGTTAATGGACTTCTATTGTTAAATCGAGAAGCCTAATACCCAGAACAAACGTTTCATTCATCTTGAGGCACGAAGCCAAATTTATGAAAATGAAGGAAAATCAGTTAACTGTAAAATTTTTATTTATTTATTTTTCGCGTACAATAAAAAAGTAGGAAATCTACATCGCTAAGATATGATCTTTCTTCAACATTTTTTTTTAATGTTTTCCCTTTTCATAGTTGAAAAATACATCTTCGTTGAGCTTTACCAGTTCCGTTTCTTGTCCCTCGAGAAAATTTTCCTCATGACTTCTCAATTAAATTTCCAGAGAGAAAAAAAATTCAACTTGGAATATTGAAAAAAAAACGGTGCAACGAAGGATAACAATATTTGATTTCCCTATTCTTTGCTCATTTAAACGATGATCCGTTTCTCCCCGGTTTACCATGTGAAAACCGTCGCGGATCAGGCGTCCGTTATCCGGGGCACAACTTCAGTTTTAAATCGGAAGCGTTTCGGATTGCCTTTTCGTTTTCTTTTTTTGTTGTTGAGAAAATGAAAAAAAATCTGGTTCGTCTTTCATCACTGAATTTTGTCCAGGGACTGCTCGCAACTTTGCAGGCCGGTAGTGAGGGATGTGTTGCCTTGAACTTTGACTGCCATGATGTGACATTCCGAGGGGACTCGCAAAAAAAAAAAAAAGAGTATCGTTCAACCAAAGTCTGAGTTCCTTGCATGAAAAAAAGAGGAGTTTGTGATATAGTTCTGATGCCCTGGGGGGAAAAACCGGGGGACCAAAGGCACCCACTTGTCCAGAAGAAGAGATGGGAAAAAACAAATTTGATGAGGCAATTTTGACAGCGAGAAGAAAATAATAAGGAGAAGAATTTGCGTGATTGTGAGCGGCACCGGGTTTTTGAATGATGAGACACCGAGAAATTTTTATGTAGGGATCCATGAGGTCGAATTTCTGCATCGCAAACTACGTGTACTCTTGATTTTATTACGCTAATTTCAATTCATTATCATGAAAAGAAATAATAATAATAATACAGACAATGCGAGGAGCTCGAAGAAACGTCGATTGAACTTAAGAAAATTTCGTTTTCCCCCTTTTTTTTTAGCAATAACGTCTGATGACGAACTTTAACAACGCGTAAAAATTTGCGCCTCGTTTTGATAATTTTAAAATCTTGAATATATGAGCTTCTTCGGTTTCAGAAATTCCTTCGAGTTGACGAGTATAATTTGAAAAAAAAATGTCGTAGAAATTCCAATACGGAAATATTTTCGGGAATTTGCAGCGAGGTAAAGTCAAAAATCAGAGCAATTCTTGCAAATTTTGTTTCACGTTTGCATATTAGGAATTGAGCTGTAAATCTAATGATATTTATGCGGTATTCAAAAATAAAATAATTTCCCAGTGAGGCCAATTCGGACGCTTGGAAATCGTCAAAGGAAACTCTGAATAATGTTTCCTAATAGTCCTAATTTTTGAAACATCCGAAAATTTGGCGACGTTCCCAATATTTGCACAATTTGAGAACAAAATAATAATCCTTGTACACTGCGGAGGAATGAAAGTAATTTCAGAAAATAATGTCACCAGTTTCACCCAAGCGTATTTAAAATATTTAAAAGTCAATAATTTCAAGTTTTGATTGATGGGGACGTGTCAGCATTCCTCTTAGATTCTTCCTGCAAAATTCAAAATGGAAGGGAGATTACGATTATAAAATTCGTAATCAGATTTCTAATTTCTCTGTGATCTTCAAGTTGGATGCGTTTCCTCATGCTAATTTATAGGTTTTAAAAATGATCCAAATGTTTTTTCTTACGATTCTTAGAACAACCGCATATTATACTTCAAGAAACGTCCGTATACTAACCTATAAATTGCAAAGTAATTATTGTTTCGTATCTCTCTCTTCTTTTGAATTTTCTCCGAGTTTTCCCCCAAATTCTCTTGGAATGTTTGCAGAAATTTCGACCTCAGCCAGAAGAAAAAAGAAAGCGAGAAAACTTATGGGTTGGACGTCAATCGTCCGAGCAGCTTTTTTTCTACTGTGAGCCTCGACTTTTTATCCGACGCAAAAAGAAAATTTGAAAGAGAAATGGCGTGGAGAAAAAATTTTGAGTGTGAGAAACGGGGTTTGAAAGAAAGAAAGAAAGAGAGAAAGAGAAGAAGAAGAAGAAAGAGGGAAAGGTTGAAAGTTTCGAGGGAAAGGGGGAAAAACCTGCTCAAAGTTTTGTAAACGTTTAAAAGAAAAAAATTCGAAGGCTGAATTTATTCGGCTCAGATCGGAAGAATTCCTTGAATCCTTTCCTTTTTTTCTAAATAGTTCACACACAAAAAAAAGAATAGGCCGCGATTTTTTTTCTTCGACGCATTCCACAAAGAAAAAGAAAAGGCGGCTTTTTTGGGTTTTTTTTACATTTTCCGAACCCCTCACTAAAAAAAAAAAAAAAAGCTGCGGGATTTTTTTTCTGCGTCGATTCAGTGATGTTCACCTGTCGAAAAAAAAATCAATGCAACATCATTCCTGTCGTTGATTTCACTTTTTAAAAATTTAGTAGGTACGAAATTTTTTATCTACCGTGAGCATCATCGAATTGACAATCGCGCTTTCGGCACAAATCCTCGTTCCAGAGAGGAAGAGTGAAAGAATCCAATGGAAAATGCTTTTTTTTTTGGCATTCGACCTTCTTGTAACACGGATTGGTGGGGAGGGGGGGGATAGAGAGAGAAAAAGGTTGTTTCTTTTTCCACAACTGACAATCTCGCTTCACTTCCTGATTTTTCAATCGGAAATCCGCGAAACGATGTCCAGAAAGACTCGCGAAATTTCAGTCGGGAATTTTCCTGGGCGATGAAAACTTCTTTCTTGTTTTTTTTTTTCTTCTTGCTTTGAGATCTGATTGTTTGAAGAGAGTCCTAGAAGGAGCGACACCTGCCTGAGATATTTTAAATTTGCGCTAAAGCTTGTGCATTCCACCTTTGTCAAGAAAATGGACTTCGTTTTTCCAGTTGGGGGATCCAATGCTCAAAAAATCCCTGCTATCCTGCTTTGCCTCTTTTTTAAAAACAGATATGAGCATTTTAGAATAATGAGAATTCAAGCCTAAATTCCTTTTAATTTTTTTTTATGTCCTGTTGGAGAAATAAATATGGCAGAAATTGACTTTCACGCGTTTTAACATTAAAAACTTCAATATTTCGGTTTTCAACTGTCATCTGCGGTTTCAAAATTTATTTGCAATGGACAAAAAATGCACTAAATCTCATTCATTCCAATTTTTTCGAATTGACTTATGAACATATTTTAAGGTGGCGATTTAAATCTAGAGCAAAGTTTCAACATTTTCTATCAAGTCAACTTTCGAAACTTTTCTGCTGTTTGCAAATTTGTAATATCTTATTCTGCGCTATACTTTTTTGCAATTGAAGCAATTTGAACAATTTACACAAAATGTGTAAAAATTGAAAGAAATAGGTTCATATAAAATTATGTGAATCTTGAGCAAGGGTCGCTTTTTCTGCAACTTTCCTGAAACTTTCAGCCCTTCTCCTGAATTGTATGTGTTCTCTTAGTATCAAGGTTTTTTTGTTGTTTTAAAAATTGGTTTTCATCTCGCTGAAGAAAAAAAGAAACAAGCAAGCAAATTAATTTCTTCAGGAAAAGGAAAGTACACTTTGAGAAAAATGGATGGGAGGAAAACGAAACAAAAAAGGAAAGAAATTTGAAAGGGATGCCGCGGACATATCAGTTTTTTTTTTTTTTCTGCCAAAACTTTTTGCCTCATTGTCGCTCTCTCTCGATATTTCCGACTCCAATTAATCCTCGCATCATCGCCCGAGCTTCAGTTCGGCATATCTTCCCGAATCAAAAAAGAAAAAAAAAGAAAGAAGAGAAACACGTGAAAGAAACAAAGGGAAAATGAGCTGCCGAAAAAAAGGACACATTGCAGCGTGTGTTTTTCTTTTCTTTTCCAATTTTTTCCCTTGGGTTTCCTAAAAAAAAAAAAGCAAGAAAAGATGCCACATGGGATTTCGGGCAGCTAAGCGCGTTATTGTAAGAGGATACGTGTTACGTCAATGGTCGTTGAAGAAATATAAAAAAATGATCTTATTGTTGATGCAAGTGATCACTTTCTTCTCCCCCGGGAAAATCACTGACCATTTTTTTTTCCCCCAATGGAGTCAATGTTTTTCTTCATATGCGATTGCAGAAAATTGTTTTCAAATCCATGCACAGTTAAATTCTGTTCCCATAAATCTTGCAGAAAAAAATTTTCCTTTGTTAGGATTTTTCTGATTCTTCAGTTTTTTTTCAGATGGGAACCAATTCGTATAAAAATCTATTTTTAACAAACATATTGATTTTGTACCTGGGACATGGGGATTTTTTGCAATTTGGCTGAAAATGACAAAACTAGTATTTACTGCATTATACAACGTTATCAAGAAGCAAAGCTTTTAAAGGAAACAAACTTCAGTATTACAAAAAGTATGTATCATAAAGTTCTCCCTAGAAATTGTCAGCATAATTTTAAAATTTAGCAGTGCTTCATTTACTCCAATTCTTTTTACTTTTCTTTTTAATTTTATCAGAGAATTAGAAATGATGCCAAGTCCTAAATAATTTGTTGTAGAAGCACTTAACAGTATTTATTATTCATGCCCCACAAATTTTAGTCCAAAACGTGATCAAAATATGAGTCTCAATATGAAAAATGACTTATTTAAAATTCTGAAAAATAGCATAAACCCAAGATAGCACAGTTCAGTGTTACATATATTGCATAATATTGTTTTGGAAATTCTTTCTGGACATCTTCACATGATAATTTTAATGTAATGAGGATGAAGTAATGTAAGCTGTATAAGGTAAACCTATGAAGAAAAGGGTCCATTGAACAAAAGGCTTGCTTGAACCCCCTTTTTAAATTTTTGTTGTTTTAAATTGCTCTCATATCAGAAAATGTTGTGGGGTTGTGCCAGGGCTACTTAGTAGCCCCAATTGTAGTGTCTTTGTGGAGAGCAGAAAACTTCATAGCAAGCACAGACAAGAACAGCAGAAATCTCTGCTACCTGCCTGGTTGACCGCATGAGAATGGCAAACCGGGTCTGTTAACTAGTCTGACCTAATCCTTGCCATTTCTAGCCAACTCTGAGGGAAAGCCAACAATGCCTGGAGATGGACACTCACCAGCTTTGCCAGCTACCAAAAGGACCTCCCTGAGGACTCTTGCTAGTGTGTGCTTTGTTCTTGACCAGATTGATAGTTTGACTGTTTTGTGTGTGTGACTAGAATTTGTATAGGAGGGTTGTGTCTGCTGCTTCCTCTGATTTTATCATAGAGCATATTAAACTAAGGTTTAAGGGACTCTTATATAAGGAGGATCCAGCCTCCTAAAGGCTGAGTACCGTGTTTCAATTTCTTCCACCTTTTGTTGAAAATCTGACCCAACAAGTGTGCTTCATTCTCAAATAAAATCACGTTAAATGCATATAGATTAACCCTTGGGCGGCAAAGTTGGACTATTTTTGCAAAATTTTGTTACACCTCAGGGCAGAAAATAAAAACAGGGCAACAGGGATTTGAGGATGAAGTCGGGGAATAATCCGATGTTTTTTTCTTTTTGCATAGAAAAATTTTGTTGAAAAATGAAAAAAATCCTATGCTAAGCAATGGGCTTTTCTTGGATTAATCCCAACTTTGCCTCAGCCCACCTGGAAGGTCTTTTCTGACCTTCAGAAAACTTAAAACGCCACAGCATATGAAAATAATCTGATTTTGGCTGGCAATGGGAAAGAACCCTCCGCTGTCTAAGGGTTAAAAAGAGCCAAATGCAATAAGATCCTAGATGGCAGCACAGATCAGCTTTCAAATAAGGGCCTTCCTAGGGCACCACTTTACAGCAGCATTAATCTCATTAACAATACTTGGATTTTAATCAGTGTCACAAGAGAATTTCCTCCTATATATATTTCTTGATTGGAATAAAGAACCTTCATTGGATCAAGGTAATGGCGGTTCAAGATGCCCTGGATGCTGTAGATTTTGCAGTCGTATATGCCTACACCAGCCTGTTCCCCAAGAAACGTAGGCAGCAGTTGGAGCAGGTCATAGACGCAGGACCGCCGTTGCCAGAAGCTGTGAAGAACTTTCTAGATCCGCATATTTTGCCCGATGATGAAACGAGTCTGGAAAGCGATGCTGAGCCAGAGGATCCTTGTCAGATTCGCAAGGGGAAGGTGTCTGAAGTTCTGGCTGGTCTGGGTCCCAGAACAACTGCATTGTCTGCCCATTTGAGCAGAAGAAATGCCAGTGATGTCATCAAGGCAACAACTTCTGACATTTACTTTCTACTTATGTATATAAATAAATAAGAACATATACGTTTCAGGGTCCCTTGTATATTTTGTTCAAAATCCTTAATTTTGAGGCTGTTTCTATTCTCCATCATTGTTTCCATGAGTGACATTTGGCAACCTTCAAGAGAGTATCAAAAAATTGACACAATTTTTCAATTCATAACCTTGGGAGATGAAAACATGTACAGTATAATCAAAGCTGAACTTGTAAACTAACCTTTCTCACTGAAAAAAAAATTCACATCAGAAGACTGATAGGGAATTAGCGACACCTACCCAATGCAATGAAATATGCATAAGTTTACAATTTTGTTGCCAAATTTAAAAAACAAAGCATTTGATAATGATAAAAACGCATGTTTAGGTGTAAAATATGGTCCCTGCATAATGAAACTAATCTGCTCAAGAGTGAGTTTTTATTTCATGCAAAAAGCATGATTTTGCTAGATTTATCATTTAATTTTAATGAATTAATTCCAGGCGCATCTTTGAAAACTGTTCATTTCCGTAAGTTATTAACAGTGAATTTCAGGTATAAAATTAAAACACCTCTGTCGATGTCAATCTCTTCAAGCTCACTGAAATTCAAGTTTTGTCAAATACATTTTAGTGTCTTTTTCTCTTGAAGATTGCTTGCCTTTAAAAATCTCAAAATTTCAAGTCAATAATATAAGTCTTGAAATGTATCCATTGTTTGTATTCATGTTTTTGAAAGAACCTTTCATGTGTGACACTCCCTTGTCAAGATGATTTTATGTCAAAAATGTGCAAAAAATTATTATACAGTATTGTATTATTCTTTTCAATACAGTACTGTATTTCTTTTTTTGAAAGCCCACTTTAAATCACTTTAAAAAGGCTGAAAAATAATTAGCAGCACTTACGTACGTCAGTGTAAGTTTGGGAAAACTTGGGGACCCTTACAAAAAATACGCATTTTGGTCTCCATTTTGATGAGATTTTTCTCTAGGTAATTTCTTCTGCTGCCGCAAGAAGCAAACGCATCAGAGCTTTGAAAATTTCAAAAAACTATCTTCACCCAATCAGGGTAAGGACTGACTCAAAGCTTGAAAAGTCTGCTTTGAAAGCCAAGGGAAGGAGACTGAAAGGAGAGTTGCCCAAGCTGAGGTTCAAGCTGAATGCTTATGCAATTCCTTGCAGGGATGATCTTTGGAAAGAAGTGTGGACCAGGGTGAATGTGGAGGTGAAGAAACCTGTGGTATTTGACTGGAATGTGCCTTGCTTCAGGGACCATCTGGATTTTACCTATGAATACAAGTGCAAGACCTTCTTCTATGTTGAGCCCAAGAAATGTGCTGAAGAAGTGGATGAAGAGGAGGCCAAGAAACAGGAAGAAGATGCTTGTGTAGATTAGCCTGGCTGTTGGATTTTGTACTGTATTTGCTTCTGCTGTTAAAAATAATAAATTGATGGTTGATTCAAATACATTTTTGCATTGGAGTAGCATAACCTTTGTTATCTTAGAAATACAAAACTTAGTGGAAGACCCTTTTAGAACTTCCCGGAAAACCCTTTTCTGAGAATCCAAGAAAAGAGGAAATTGCTAGAGTGTGAAATGCCTCTGCAATTTCCTGGGTGACAAGTCATTAAGACTTTCATCCAGATTCTAGTAAATTTCATGTCAAACAAAGAACCATTAGCATCCCTGGTATACTGGTAGGCTTAATTCATCAATTAGAGGAAGTGAAAATTATTCTTGGACACCTTGCTTTCCTTAATCATTATTGCTGAGGTGTGACAGTAGCTAATGTGTTCTTAATGTGTTTCACTGTTTCCTAATGTGTTCTACTCCATTGGACAATTTCATGGAGCTGAGGTTTTCCATCATTTGGGGTTAATGATTGTTACCCCATTTCTCCCCTTCTTGGTGACCAGGTTTAAATACCTGTGCTTGGAGTGAAATCAAAGAGATCTCATCCAAGCTGCATAGAGTAAACTTCATAGACTTAGCATTGGCAAAGCTCAAACCTATTTTGATATATAGTAAGCTGGACTTGTATGTTTGTGTTCTTGTATTTTGTATTTGTGTGATTGTGACTGGATGAGAATATTGTATAAAGAATATTGAACCAGAAATAAGGAAGGTGTTCCTTCATTTCTCAACTCAGTCCTGTAAGAGAAAGGACAACACCTTCCTATTTATATTGAGACCCTTTTCTATCTGTGCTGACAGTGTGAAAAAATTTGGACTTTTCATATTGGGCTGAAATGTAGCCAATTAAAGCAGGACATCACAATTTTTTCCAAATTTTCAAAACCCTAATGCTCATGCTCAGCTATGATAATCAAGCTAAAGAATCATTCAACTCTTTCAGTAATAATTTATACCTATACTGATGTACATGTGTTGCCCCGCAAGTTGACCCTAAACTGTTCCCTGTCAGATTGAATTGTGAAGTGGTCAAATTGTAAGATAATGTCAAATGCAATGTTATCTACATCAAATTTGACATTTTCTGTCTTTCTGCCAGTCAAATTGTGGGGCAGAGGTTGAATTGCAAGTTGACTTCCCAGCAAATTTGACTGTTGAATTGCGGGACAGTCAAATTGCAGGATGTTAAATTGTGAGGGGACATCATGTACTACTGCTGCAAGACAAATTTCATGTTTATTCTCACAAGCTGATGTATTTTTCATTATTTAAATGTTTTCGCAATGTCCAACAATATAGAAATATCCATGCTTGTCATAATAGCCAATATCTCCAGTTTTGAGCCATGGTTTTCCTGCCAGGGAAAATGTTTCTTTTGAACTTTGCCAATTGATGAACACGCTTTTGGTCGCATCTTGATCATGCAAATAAGTATGCATTACTTGTGGACCCCGGACTAAGATTTCGCCATCTTTGAAGGGCTCAGTCCATCTTCTAGAATTCATATCCACTGTAGCTGCTGTTGTCCCTGCCAAAGGGCCTCCAACAGACCCAAGTTTTTTGTGCTCATGTACAGGAACCATGTGGGTGAAACCTGATGCTTCTGTCACACCATAACCTGCAATTTTTAAAATCATCATAGAAGTATTCTTAGAGTAAATGTTTTAAATTTACAGACATCCTTGCAAGTGAACCTTCTTTTTCATTTTTGTGATCCGCAGATCTTGGATAAGATGTGCCTCATTCTTCCTAATCCTGAATTGAAAGCATTTGACATGGTCCAAATGAGTCTCTACTGACACACGTGGATGGCTGTCCATGAAGTGCAACATCTCCACTGTCAAAGGGAAGATTGTTGGCTGAAAATGAAGTGCAACATTTTTCATTTATTTTGTAGGCATTGAAAATCGCACTTCTCTATCTTTATAACTTCTCCTATTTCCCAAAATTTACTTGGAGGCCTCACAGTACTAAAAATTCTTAAGGAATCTACACATCCTCATGCAAAAGTTTACACTTGATAATATACTTCAATCCTTCATCAACAATGAATCTTATGTGCAACTATGATCATTTTATTTTCATGCATCTTATTAGTTTCTCAATGAAAAAAAAAATCAATCATGAAAACTTTGAGCTGAAACAATAAGTATGCAGTATATACAACAAGAGACTTTTTCTGAATTTTCAGAATTCATGTCCATTTTGACAGCATTTCAGTTAATAGCAAAACAATGTTTTATGGAAAATACTGTATTATTGAATCAAGTGTGATGACCCATAGTCAAGGGTTATAACACAGAGAGAACAATAGATAGAACTGCACATAGAAATCCAAAATACAGGTATCTTACAGATACTGTATTTTAAAAGTGTGCAGTACAATACTTTTTAGTTAGGCACTTTTTGAATAACTGCCATAAATAAAAAAACAGATTAAATATACCAGAACATGTTATGAGTCTTGAATAACATTGATTCTCCTATTATCACTCTCAAATAACTTTAAATGATCATATATGACCTGGCTGTTTTCATCTCTTACTCATTTTATGTTATGGTACTACAGTATAAGATTTGATTTCATGGATGTAAGGTAATTTTTCTCTCCAGAAGTCCAGATCAAGAACTTGATTATACTGTATGCAGGCTCCACTAAGAGAACNTTGTGTCCTTCTCTGATGATATGGGCCTTCTCAGCTTTGCTCAAATACGGCACATGAAGCTGATTCAGAGTTCCAACGATATTACCATGCGATAAAGCAACTGCCATTTCTTTGCCATTTGCCTTTCTCAGGCACTGCACAATTGCAATGTCATCTGGCCTGAATGGCGCCCCAGAAAGAATTCCAAGACCATCTTTGGATGAGTTGCATATGACTTCGCGAAGAGACAAAAGTTTTGGACTTCTTGGTCCATTTGGTTGCAAATCTTTCATCAGCTATAATGAAGAAAGGATTGGAATAATAAGTTGATGACAGTATAATGGCAAGTTATTCTTCCCCCTGAATTCTCTGAAGCCCTTTGAATATTGCTATATACCTAACTTATTTAGGTATAAATGAACCAAAAATAAAATTTTACTAACCAATATGATTTATTTTGCATATTTAGCTATCATATTTGGACATCTTAAAACATAAATCTGGAAAACAGTGATGTATGATTTGTTTTCATAAAATTACTGCAGATGTATAATCAGTACTAAAGAACACAAAAATCAAAGAAAATTAAATTCATCATTAATATAAGTTATTCGAGCATTCAATTATTCATCAAATTGTTCAAAATGTGTTCCTCATTTTGTGATTCAAGTACAATATGCTCACTGGCCCAATCCATCACAAATTATGTGGAACATTTTGTAACCATCATTCTATGATACACCCCAGTTTTGAACAACAAACTTTACAATGAATGCACATGAGGTCAACTTCGAAGTTTATTACGACCATTACAAAGATGTCGTATAAACGCGTAACCTTATATATGTAATGTGTGGAAAATAAACTTTTTACTACATGGAAGAGAAGAAGTACGTGAGGGTGACTTTATTACTATGTTCTAATTGACATTAGCTCTTCCTCTACTTGACAGTATATAACGTGTACGAACCGTAGGAAACGGTTGTGGTGGTGACGAAAACCAAACGTACGGGAGTCGACTCGATGTTACGTCGGACTTTAAACATTACGTATATGGTTGAATTAGTTGACGTTCGAAGAGCAAGAGAAAATTTAAAATTCAAATCACCTTTTGGATTGATCAACGCAGGAACTCCATGAATGAACACCGCTCCATAAAAACAGATGGCAAACGATGGCATGTTGGGGCAAATTATCGCCAAGATGTCGCCTCTTTTATTCAAGATCGACAAGTTTTTGAGACCCACCCCGAAAGCAAGTGACAAGTGCCTGATTTGTTCGTAAGTGAATTCCTCTCGTGTTTCAGCGCACACCTGTACATATATAGGCTTCGTAGAATTTATGTCAAAGAGGATTTCGAAGTATGCTTCTTCATCATGCATATGAACGCACCATTGCTGTCGCCTTGGAAAACTTGTGATAGTCTTTCCATAGATACCCAGCAAGATCTGGCGACTGTTCAGATGTTCGCAAAACATGATTGCAAATCACCAAGCCTTGAGAAAAAACATGGAAAGGATTGCTGGTGTCCC